CCTGGCAGAGGGCAGGCACAGAGCAGGCTGGCCGGGTGCACCCCTGTGGCAGTGTCTCTGGAGGCTGCAGCAGCGTGGGGGACACAAAGGTTCCCTGTGATATATGGTGAGATGCGGGGCACTCCCACCAGGAGCTGTAATTCATAAGTTATGGGCGAGCTTCAGGACTAATAAATTTGGGAGGGAAGTATTAATGACTACACAGGGGCACTGTGAACTTGGCAGGCCCCAAAGCCTGGAACTCTGCAGCCCAGGTTTTAAAAATGATTTGTGCTAGAGCAAGTCTAAACAGAAGCGGCTTGGCGTTGTCTGACTGTGACCTGCTGGCAACTGTTGAGACTGCGGAGCCGCTTCCTCCTCACGGCTGGGGCTGGCAACCTGCCCTCCCGGGCTGCCCTCCCCCACCCCACAAAACGCAGGCCCCTCCCGAGGCTCCGTGACTCGGCTCCTGTCTGCAGGTTAATCCCTGGATTGTCTGTGTCCCACTGTGCACGAGGTGGGCCTCAGAGCCTTGCTGGCCTGAAGGTCACAGTTAGCAACAAGCGCTGCCCTTACTTAATCTCCAGAGCGGCCTATAGCGCTCTTAGCTTGTCCAGCCATAATTTCTAATGTCATGAAAATCCCTCCCTGGACACAGCCCCTGGTCAAGGAGAGATCAGCTGGGGGATGCCCTGTGTCCCTGGACCACGTGAGGCTGTGAATCATGGGTGCCCTTGCCAGCCCCCTGTTCTGCCCTCTGTCTTAGAGGCACTGGCTTTGCCGTGGATTCTCTCTGGGGCTGGCTGTTAAACAGTGTGCAGAGGGAGCTGCCTATGCAGGGGCAGGCAGCAGCCAGAGAGCTGGGAGGTACCCAGGGGATGCCCCAGAAAAGGCAGGGAAGAGTGAGCCGGCGGGGACCCCAGGGCTGGATGGAGAGGCATCTGCACCTGCTTTCAGGGTGCGTGTCTCCCCTCTCTATGGGAGGCCTGAGCCTGCCTTGTCCAAATACCCCCTACCCTAGTTTCCAGGAGGGTGAGCAGGGACAGTGCAGACCCCGTGACATCCTGCTGGTAACACATGGCTGATCCGTTTCCCCTGAGTGGGCTTCGACGCTGACCCAGCTTTCTGCCTCCCTTCTCCTCCTCCTGGAAGTTGCCTCCTACAGGGGCTGCCGAGAGAGGAGCAGCAGGAGGGAGGGGCAGGACTGAAAGCCTCAGAGCACTGCTAGAATGTGCAGGAGAATTTTAAAGGCTTGGTTTGTTTGTGGACCCTCCAAGCCCAGATCTTGGTTCCCTGTGGGCTCAAATGTGGCATCTGGCATCCAGTATCTTGTAGGTAATTGGCTGAGGGACAATAAGGGCTGTGCTGTGAGCTCTAAAGCTAATGACCCTGAAGAGAGAGAGGTGCTGGGGAGAGTGGATGTACCGGAAGGGCTTAGACCTGCAGAAAGAACAGCACAGGGCAGGCCCAAGCCCCAGGTGAGCTGCAGCCTCAAGACAGGCAGTGGGCAGAGCCAGGAGGCTGTCATGGGGAAGATCCCGGAATGGGCTGTGAGATCATATATCTGCTCCTTTCATCCTTGGGAGGCCAGGCAAAGTGGGCAAAAGTTGTTCCCACCTTCCAGGAGAACTTTCAAAAAGAAGGAGGCAGATTCCACAAGCACCAGCCTGGGGGCTGAAAGCCAAGAGTGGGGTTTCTGGGGTGGACTACTGCTGACTGGCCTCAGCTCCCGGAGGAGACGCAGGGCTCCGCACAGAACAAGTGATGTCAGAGAGCCTCATTTTGTACTTTCATCAGTTACCGCCTTCAAGATGACCTTCGATGCAACAAACTCTACGGAGACCTGGCTAGGGCCCAGGCCGAGGCAGGCCCTGAAAGAGTCTAGAGGGGAGACACACGTCAACACTTCTGGCAGTGGGGCAGGATCCGGACCTGGGGGGAGTCGGGAGTCGGTGTAAGTCTGCCAGGGAAGGGTGAGGAGGTCTGGGGGCGTACGCTAAGAGGGATTCTAAGCATGAAGAGAAGGCCGGTAGGCAGGTTGGGCCATCCCATGAACAGCATGCAGAGACTCGGAGACCTCTCAGAGCATTTACAGAACTAAAGGCTGTTTCATTCCTCTAGAGTGAAAGCCGAGCTGGGGTGGAAGGAGATGAGGCTGGGGAGGCAGCCCGGAGCAAGATCATCAGGGGTACACCTGTCAAACGGTAACGCAGGTGTCCTCAGGCAAACTCGGTGAGGACAGAAACCTCCCGTGGAGCAGAAGGGCAAAAGCTCGCTTGATCTTGAATGGGTACCTACTCCTCATGTGTTGAAACCTTAACCCCCAGTACCTCAGAATGTAGTCTCACTTGTAAATAAGGCGGTTGCAGATGTCATTAGTTAAGATGAGGTCCTTACATGCCTGGGGCCCTTATAAAAAGGGGAACTCTAGATCCAGACATGTGCACAGAAGGATGCCATGTGCAGATGAAGGCAGGGCAGGGTGATGCTTCTACAAGCCACGGATGCTGAGGACTGCCGGCCACCACCAGAAGCCTGAGGAAGGCCTGGGACAGATTCTCGCTCCCGGCCCACAGAGGGAAGCAATCGGGCTCAACCTTGATCTCGGGTTCCAGGCCCCAGCCGTGTGAGACAATACGTTTCTGCAGTTTGCGCCAGCCAGCCTGTGGCATTTTGTTACGGCAGCCCTAGCAAACTAATACACCAGCCTAAGGGGCTTGGGTTCTTTCCTGAGGGACGCAGGGAACCAGGAAAGGCGGGAAGTCAGGGAGTGGGAAGAAAGATTTTGGAATGCTCACTGTATGGTGGGGGAGGGGAGACGGCAGAGGGCAGGCAGCTGGGCGAGATCGAGACATTAACAAAGGCTAAATGAGGAAGATGAAGAAGGGGCTGCTTCAATTAATCAGGAAATGGCGATCGGTTGCAAATCAGGACCTATCAAGCCCTGGAGTCCAGGCAGGAATCAACAAACTACAGCTGAATGCTGACGAGCGTGAAGTTCCGCACGAGGCTACAAAAGGCCTGTTGTTGCCCAAGGATGGGCTGCGGGGACACGGGGCTCAGCAGAGCTGTGTGGGAAGACGTGAGGCAGGCTCAGCTGTGAGCTCAGCCAGGGGGTTCCCCACAAACTCAGGAGCCTTCTGGCTGCATTGTGGGGGCCCCGGGTCCAGCAAAAAAAAAAAAGCAGGAGTGGCCCCTCAGCATTGTGCCCTGGGCTGGCAGCTCCCCAGTAACTGCATTCAGTTGTGGACATTATTCTGAGAGATTAAAACAGTGGAGAGCTCCCGGAGCGGGCAGTACAGCAAGAACTGGGGAGTGTGTCTCCCGAGGATTGGCTGTGGGCATGCAGGTGATGGTCCCTGGAGGAGAAACAATCTCAAAACGGTCTCAGCTGGGACAGCATCACCTGTGCCTGAAACCCATGGCCCGTGGGGAGGCAGGGGGCGGGGGGCCAGGCCTCAGTGCAGTCTGAGGAAGAATTTTCTTACAGGCAGAGCCAGGTGGAGGTGGGGTGGGCTGCCCAGGGAGGTAGGAAGCACCTGTTAGAGAAGGGTGAGCTGAGGCTGCACGGCTCATAGGGTTATAGATGGGATTCTCACATCAGCTGAAGGGCTGGACCCAGAAGCCCCTTCTTGCCCCCAAATTCTATGTTTCTAAGCTCTGAAGATCTCTCGGAAGAGTGGCTGGACACAGTGGCTCATGCCTACAAACCCAGCACTTTCAGTGGCTGGGGCAAGAGGATCCACTTGAGGTCAAGAGTTTGAGACCAGCCTGGGCAACATAGCAAGACCCCATCTCTACAAAAATAAAAACATTAGCTGGGTGGAGTGGTGTGTACCTATAATCCCAGCTACTCAGGAGGCTGAGGCAGGAGGATCACTTGAGCCCAGGAGTTTGAGGTGGCAGTGAACTGTTATGATACCACTGCACTCCAAGAGAGAGACCTTCTCTTCCCCACCCAGCTAAAAAAAAAAAAAAAAAGCAACCACTTCGTTTCCCAAAACCTGTGTGCAGTTTTGCAGCGCCTCACAGCCCTCAGAGCTTTCTCACTGCCATTGGTTCCTCATAACTCTACCTCCTGCGAGGCAGGCAGAGCTGGAGGTATGAGCCCATTTTACAGAAGGGAACGCTGAAACCTCGAGTCATGGAGCCGGGCCTCCTGCCTCCCGACCTGCTCAGCCTGCCCGGCTCTGTCCTCGCTGCCCTGGAGGGGTCACGGCATGCCAAGGCAAAATGGCTCCTGGATGAAGCTGGGGTTTGGGGTCCCACAGCCCGAGCTCCCAGCCCAGCACCACCATTTCCTGGCTTGGGTGGCCCCCTGCGTTTCCCCAAACCTCTGGCCCTTGCAGCAGTCCTGTGAGGAAGCCTTAGTACTGCTCTTATTTGACAGCTGGCAAGACTCGGGCCCCAAGAGAGTCCCGCCACATAAACGGCTGATAGAAGAGTTGGGATTTGAATCTAGAAATAACTAACTCCCTTCCTTCCATACAGGACCCTACCCTGGGCTGTGGCTCGTGTTCCCACCTCCACGAACATCGCCGCCGTCCGGGCTGCTCTGGCCCCGGGCCTGAACTTTTTGGGGCCCTGGTGGATGGCAGTCCAGCAGGAAGCCCCGGACCTCTAAGAAGCCTGGCTCTGCCGCTAATTAGCGGGGCGCCTTTGGACGGCTTCCCTGGGTCTCGGTTTCTTCAGCCATGCAACAGGAGAGTCACACCTCCTCCTACAGCTGCTGGAAGGACAGGGAAGTCACCGCACACAACGCGCGCCGGGGCCACAGGCGCAAAATGGGGACAAGTCACTTCTAGTTTCGGTCAGGGTGGCCAGACGACACGCTCTCTCCCGGGCTCTGACGGGCAGTCCCGAGGGTGCTTATCTGACGGTGCTCCCCCGTCACGGGGAAGGAGGGGGCACACACCTGCAAGGAACCCCAGCCCCTCGGCGCACAGTCCCGGGGCGCGGGAGGGAGGCGAGGGGGCGCCCCCCGCCATGCCATCTGGGGCCGGGTGGAGACGCAGACTCACCTTGCGACGGCTGCAGCTCCTCCACGACGCTCTCGGCCGCCGTCTCCTCGTCCCACGTGCCGGCCTCCACCACCTTGAAGCGGCTGCGCGGCTGGCTGAGCACGTGCGGGGCCTGCAGCGCCGCCTCGCGCTCCGCAGCCAGGTCCAGGTCCTGCTGCGCCAGGTGCGCGCGCAGCTGCCGGATCTCAAACTGCGGAAGGAGAAGGGCCGGGCTGGGGCTGGGGCGGGGGCGGGGGCGGCCGGGCAGAGACCCCAGCCTGACCTCTGGGCGCTTTGTGCAAACGCTACTGGACGGAGTCAGAAGCCCTGGGTATGAATTCAGTTCTAGCTCGTGACCCAGATGCGGCACCCCAAGGGGCGCCCGACAGCATGAAAGCCTCACGCAGATGCCTCACGCTGATGACTAAGGAAGAACAGGAAACCTCGGGACATCCAGGGCCCGCGTCCCAACCTGGGGACCCCATCCTGGCGTCACTGCCCGCTGGTCTGAACACTGGCTCGTTTTCTTCCAGCAACACCCGCTTCTCTCCTCCACGAGGAGACACCCAGGACCAGACCCGGTTCAGTCCCAGCCCTGCGGCTTCCAGGCCCGGTGGCCTTGGGCAAGTCCCGTCACCTCCGCAGCCTCAGCTTCCTTTTCTGCAAAATGGGGTTTTCCCCTCTTTGGGGACTTGGGCTGCTTCCTCTCAAGGGCGTTCTCCCGGGTGGAGGGCGGCCTATGTGGATTTCCTGCACTGCACCTGGCACCTTCTCACGCACGGCTGAGCGCATTCACGAAGACACGGTGGCCAGACGGCAACCCGGCCTCGTCAAAGCCGCACCCATCTTGTTTTACTTTCTGTCGGGGAAAGCTTCTTGGAAAGGCTTCAGATACCTGCTGGGTTTGCGGCTGACATGCCCACGCCCGCGCCCTCCTGGGACATCTGGGCCAACGCGAAGTCTGGGTCTGACATTCGGGTCCGGGCCGCCACCGCCACCTAGTGTTCCCCGCGCGCCTCACGCCGCGTCTGCACCGGGCGGAGCAGGGAGGGCGGACAGCCGGGACGACGCCCGGCCCGCGCCTGGGGGGTTCCCTGCTTGCCCACGCCGCCCAGATGCACCTCTCCGGCCCCGACTCCTCAAACCCGGTGTCGGATTCTCACCTCCAATGCCTCCGTGACAGTGTCACTTTCACAGGAGCCGCGAACTCAGTGCGGTCAGAGCAGGCCTCTTCACTGTCTCTGCAGACCTGCTCCTCAAGGGTTTTCCTCGCATTTTAGCCGCAGCCAAAAATACAATCACCTTCCTTGCTTCCTCTCTTTCCCTCGTCCCCACATCCGATCCACCCCCCAAGTCCAGCCGCTGTCCCGCTTCCCTCCACCTCCACTGCCGCCTCTGGCACTGCCCACCCGGCCCATTCGTCTCCTCCTCTCTCCCGTGACCCGACCCCAAGACACAGTCCTCCTCCTGGTTCTATAATACCAAGCACGCGCTGATCCCAGGGCCGCTGTCTCAGCTGCTGCCTCTGTCCCAGATCACACGGTGGCCCCTCCGACGGCCCTTCCCTGACCGACACCCAGGGCAGCCCCTCGGGCACTCCGTCGCATCAGCCCATCTGAATTCACTTACCACCTTCTCATGTTGTGTATTTAATGTTTTCTTGATTTTAGTTCTACGGAAGTAAGACACACATACAACTAAAAGCATTCACGAACAACAGGGCAGCCAGGAAGCCACCTGGCACAGGACAGCCTCCCAATGCCAGGGTCTACAGGTTTTCAGCTTCCTGCCTGAGGCTCGAAGTTTGTAAGTTTGGTTGCTTCTGTGCTGGGAGTAGGGCAGACGAATGGGGCAGAGGGTCCCACCCTTAGGGGGAAAGACTTTGATTTAATCCTCATTTTCAGCCCTCCATCTGCTGCATCAGGTAGCATTCTGTCTAGTCTCCATTTCCCCCAATTCACTAAAATCTCTTTCCTCTTTGTGCTGATGGGGAAAACTTAGAGTTCCGTTTCCTCCCTCCCTGCCTTCCTTCCCTCCCTCTCTCTCCCTTCCTTCCCTCCCTCTCTCCCTCCTTCCTCCCTCTTTCCTCTCTCTCTCTCTGTCTCTCCCGTTTTCGTTTTTGAGAGAAGGTCTTACTCTGTCTGCCACACTCAAGTGCAGCGGCATAATCACAGCTCGCTGCAGACTTGTATTCGTGGGCTCAAGTGATCCTCCCACCTCAGCCTCCCAAGTAACTGGATTATGGGCACATGCCCGGCTAATTTTTGTTTTTATTTTTTGTAGAGACAGGGTCTTGCCATGTTGCCCAGGCTGTCAAATGTCTGGGCTTAAGCGATCCTCTCACCTCGGCTTCCCAAAGTGCTGGCATTACAGGTGTGAGCCACTGTGCTCGTCTAAGAGATAGTTTCTTAATTCTTATGCATTAACGATTTCGTTTTCTACTGTCATTCCACTGGGGTTTGGGGAAGGAAATCAGATAAATATTTGTGATCACACCACGATATGGTTTGGCTGTGTCCCCACCCAAATCTCGTCTCAAACTGTAGTTCCCATAATCCCCATGTTGAATCATAGGGCTGGTTACCTCCATGCTTTCTCACGATGGTGAGTTCTCACGAGATCTGACGGTTTCATGAGGGGCTTGTCCCCCTTTGGCTTGGCGCTTCTCCTTGCGGCTGCCATGTGAAGCAGGACCTGCTTGCTTCCCCTTCTGCTATGATTGTGAGTTTCCTGAGGCCCCCCCACGCTGTGAGTCAATTAAACCTATTTCCTTTATAAATTACCCAGTCATGGGTATGTCTTTATTAGCTGCCTGAAAACAAACCACCATTTTCAAAGAGCTATCAGTTTACTTCTGATTCACCCCCAGTGGTGTTCCGGTGGGTGGGGAAAAAACGCACACTCCTAGCATGGCTGATTTCAAGCCGCCGGCAAGATTCCATGGGGAAGATCTGCACACTGGGTTCTCGTGAGCAAGTGAGACCACCACTGCACCACGGCTACCCTTCACCCCCAGGAGGAGAGTATCCCCACCAGCAGGGGTCTTGTCTGTTTTGTCCCGTGGTATGCAAAAGGCATTCGATAAACATTGCTGAATACACGAACAAATCAATGCGGGAAACCAGTTAGCCTGTTCAGCTCCGTGGCTTCAGACTGGGCCCTAACTCCAACCACCAACTGAGCTGCACCCCTGTCACAAAGCTAAGACAAAGATGGCGACCGCATGCCGGCTACGCACTAAGCCCTGACCCTGGTCACACACTGAGCCTGGACTCTGGTCACATACGGAGCCCTGACCTGGTCACAGACTCAGCCCTAACTCTGGGCTCAGACACTGAACCTCAACAACCCAGCACTCAGAGCACTCAAAGGTGGCTGGAGGGCTCACAGAGGGAGAAAGCGGGCCTTTATGTGCAAGGTAAGAGGGTACAAGCCACCCCTCTGGCAGTAAGGTCTCATAGGCGACGGAGGGCCCAGGAGGCAACCTCCCAAGCTCTGCTGGGGTTGGGAGCCCCTCCTGCCCTGCTGATCTGAACCTCCCATGGGCACACCCAGCCCACTTTCTCCAAGGCCACTCATCGGGGCCTGCAGGCCAGCTAATGGCTTCCTGGCCGCTCTGAAGGGATGCATTATTGATGACTTGTAATTGATATGGAGCTGCCCAGGAGTGTCCCGCTGGAATTCAGGCCAGACAGCCAGAGGCCAGGGCTTGCCCAGCCCCAGGCCCACATGTGCAGATGCAGGCACATACGCAGAAGCAAGTTTCAGCTAAAGAGATGAACTCCCAAGTGTGCGGGAGTTTTCTCATTCATTCATTCGGTAGGAAGTCAGGTAAAGCAGGGTAGGGCAATGTTAACATTCTGTTACAGGTTTGGGAATGAAAATGCCTTCCCCAGCTTGCAGATAAATCCTGGATAGCCCTAGCAAGGGGTGGTGGGCAGGGGGGGGCTATCAGCTGCGCTGCAGGGAACAAGTCCCCTCTGAGAGCCAAGCACAGCTGGGGTGGTACTTACAGCAGAGGAAGCATGGTGTATACAAGGGCCAGAGGGCCAGAAGGGGCTGGGGAGCTTGGCCAGGGCCCCACCAGGCAGAGCCTGTAGCCACAGTAAGATGTTTAAAGAACAACCAGTGGAGTCCTCCAAACAGAAGGGTGGAGTGGTGGCAGTGGCGGTGCAGTGAGCCGGATGGGCATCTGGAAGGACCATGCTGACTGGAGAGCGGAGGACAGACTGGAGGGGGCCACAGTGGGCGTGAGAATGCCAGCTGGGAAGCTACTGCAGAGTCTGTGCCAGCAATGACCAGATATGGGCTACGGTGGAGATAAGATACGAGGAAGGGTACAAGGACCAGCCGGGAGGTGAGATGGCAGCGCGTGGCGTGGTCTGGAATGGGGCTGAGGAACAGGACAACCCGCTTTGGGGACAGATTTCAGTAAGCTTCACACCCAGAGGGTGTGAGGTGGCTGGATGCTGTCCGTCTGCCCTGAGGAGGAAGGACTGACTCCTCAGAGGGGAAGGGCACATGGGCCACACGGCTCTCGGCCCAGTCACTGGCTGGGACAGCGCAGGGGGGTTTCCAGAGGTGCTAGCGAGACCCTCGGAGCCAGCCTCCTGGCTCCTGCCCCGCTTATCGTGGCCACATGTGCCTCTGCAGTGCTGCCCGGGGGTCCTAGGACATCAGACGGGGAACCAGGGCCCGGAGGTAGGAAGGAGCCTTCTGTGCCGGGAGGGAGGCGGGGGGAAAGGCCAGGACCGGATGGTGCTTCAGAAGCAAAGCAGGGGCCACAGCCCACAGCCCTGCCTTCCAGCCCTCAAGACCCTGTGCCAAGGAACCTGCAGCCTTATGGGCAAGATGGAGGTGAGTCAGCCCAGCAGAATCCAGGGCAGCTTGATAGGAGCAGGGGCCAGGAAAACAGGAAGTCACCAGAGGGGAAGAGCAAGGGCTGGAGACTGGAGGCTGAGTTCTCGGCCATCACCCCTCCCTCGCCCTGACTTTGGGTGAAGCTCTTTTCTTCCCCGGGCCTCCGTTTCACTGTGTGTCCAGTAAGGCAAATGGACTCACTGAATTCCCAGTCGATGACGAGCTCTGTACCAGCTCCAGGCCCCCACCTGGAGGCCGTGAAGGGCAACTGCAGTTAAGGCTCCGTGCTGTTTGGGGGGCCTCCCCTACCCCCCGCCAAATGCCCCATTCCCAGAGAACCGTCTCTTCAGA